CACATATTAATTTTATTAAACTGTTAAATGTATCTGTACAAAATTATAAACATTGCGTTATAACCTCTTCTAAAACTGATGAAGACATGTTTGTCAAATATGCTAGGATGAATGTTTAACATTTTAACAAGTTATCAACCATGCTAAGACCTTATTTGGTAAAAAAAAAAACTAAGGAAGCTCTGTTTCCGGAACACAGGTTAATACTTACACAGCAAGAATGTCCCAAATACATTATAAGGATATCTTGAAGATATCGCATATATTGAAGATATCCCAAATATGGGAGCGGTGCACTTGGACACGGTGCATTTGGACACAGCCAATCACAGCACCGTATGATTAGAGACATTTGTAGGGTCCCTTGGAACAGCGACTTGTGATTGGACTGTGTCCAATTGCCCCGTGTCCAACTGATATACACCCCCCAAATATATCTTTAGGATATCCTTATGATATATTTTGGATACTTCTGCTGTGTGGGTAATAACATTAAGGTAAGTATAGTTTATTAGTAAAAAATTGTTTAATATAAGTACTTCTTAAATTTTTAGTTATGTTTAGAAATAATTGTTAGAAAAAAATATTTCATGAAATTATAAACTATATAGCAAAAGTTGTGATACATTTTTCAGATATTTTGCAACAGGGAATTCAGTAGCAAGTATTGCATTTTATTTTCAAGTTGGGCAGTCGACCGTTAAACAATTAATGAAAGAAGTGTGTCTAGTTATTGTTAATACATTACAGCCTATATATAATTATATTTAGCCCCAGCGAGAACGTAGACGTCGATTCGACGTCTAACCGACGTCGGAGAAGTCTAAGTTACGTCTAGTCTAAATGCATGTCTGGAAAAATGACAATTTAGACGTTTTCTATTTTGAGTAAATTCTAATGTTTTAGAATTCATTTATAATATATTGACCATTAAAAGAGAATTTTCGATAAAATTTCGGAATTTTATTTTGTCGATTATTTACAATCTCTCTAGACGTCTATTCGATATTGAATCGACGTCTAATAACTTATCGATCGACGTCAAAAAAACGTCGATAAATAAGTCATTTCTCACTGAGATCGCGCGCGTTTTGCATAAAAAATTTATTCTAAGTGGAAACGTCAGTTTTTTTTTAGATTTCCGATTCAATTATAGTATTACAAAGATAGGAATGTCAGATTACTCGAAAAACATTAAACTGGAAGGAATGATCAAAGCCATTTTGCAAATAACTACATAAACTTTAGAGATATTAAATAAAATAGACAGGCGAATCAACGCGTATATTTGCTGGGTACGTTATAATATACTGTGAACACTGTAAGTATACATTTTATAATTGTAAGAACATCATTGGAGTCATTGGAACACCGCGTGTCGCTCGATCGTCAGGTTAAGCAACGCAGTCAGGATGGATGGGTGACCACTTCGAATTCAAAATTATCGAGGCAGGATTCGCAAAAGTTTTAGCGTGTGTTTGACAATCTTCGGTTTCTAGCAGTTTATAAGACATAAGGAAAATTAGGAATTAGTTATTTTTATGAAACAATCTAGTGAGAAATGACTTATTGATCGAATCGACGTCGAAATGACGGTCTATTAGACATCGATAAGACGTCGAAATGACGGTCTATTAGACATCTAAATGTGGATCGTTTTTACTTTAATATAGATCTTAATCTAGATTAGACGTAGATGGTAGATATACGTTTCATATAGACGTCCGGTAGACGTCGAATCTACGTAACCTTTCTCGCTGGGAGCATGTCAAACTGAAGAACAGTGAAGATATAGCTGGGAAGAATATTGCTGATGGATAGTGGAACCGATGGAATATGCCTAACTGCTTTGGAGCTATTGACGGGAAACACATAGTTTTGCGATGTCTCCCTAATTCTGGAAGCTTGTATTTTAATTATAGAAACAATTCAGCATTGTTCTTATGCAAATCTGATCATTTATATAGATTTAGTTTAGTTGATATAGGAGCCTATGGAGGAAATAGTGGTGGAGGCATTTTTGAATCGTCAACTATTGGAAAATATTTAAAAAATAATGGACTTAATTTGCCCACTTCACGCGCTTATCTTCCCAGAAGTAATATCTCTATGCCTGAATTTTTTATCGCAGATGCTGCGTTTCTATTATGTACTCGTATAATGATCCATCAGCAATATTCTTCCACCGTTCTTCAGTTGGACATGCTAAATATAGAGGCTGTAATGTATTAATAATAACTAGACACACTTCTTTCAATAACTGTCTAACAGTTGAATGCCCAACTCGGAAAAAAATGCAATAGTTGCTACTGAATTCCCTGTTGCAAGATATCTGAAAAATGTATCACAATTTTTTTTGTATAGTGTATAATTTCGTGAAACATTTTTTTCCAACAATGATTTCTAAACATAACTAAAAATTTAAAAAGTAGTAATATCAAACATTTCTTACTAATAAACTATATTTACCTTAATGTTATTATTAACAGGTGTATATTAGTTGGACACGGGGCAATTGGACACAGTCCAATCACAAGTCGCTGTTCCAAGGGACCCTACAAATGTCTCTAATCACACGGTGCTGTGATTGGCTGTGTCCAAATGCACCGTGTCCAAGTGCACCGCTCCCATTATTAACCTGTGTTCCGGAGACAGAGCTTTCTTTTTTTTTTTACCAAATAAAGTCTTAGCATGGTTGATAACTTGTTAAAATGTTGAACATTCATCTTGACATATTTGACAAACATGTCTTCATCAGTTTTTAATTCTTGAAACAGATTTTCATTCTCCTTGCTGTTTTCTCTGTTGATTAATTGATCTCACGAGCCATCTTTTATTTTGCCATCTTTTGTGTGTTTTTCTTCGTTTTAGTCTCATATAGTAAATTAAGAGTAATGACAACAATAAACATTTTAACTCCATAGACTTTGATGTTTTCATATTTGTTGACTTGAGAACCTAAAATTATATTTCAATATTTATATATCAAACATATTTTATACATAGTGTTGGGAAGAGGTTATAACGCAATGTTTATAATTTTCTACAGATACATTTAACAGTTTAATAAAATTAATATGTGCTCAATATAGACATTTCTAATTATGACTGTAAAGATAAATTATTATTGTTTCTTTACTTATTGTTCAATAATCTGATTTAATTACCTTTGTTACAGAACCTCTATGTTCCTTCGTAACGTGACGTAACGTAAAATTTTCGTGCGTTCCTATACGTTCAGCTTACGTCTCACGTAACGTAAGGTTATCACGGAAGATGGCGTAGGAAACTACGGCAATGCAAAAATCCTATAATAAGAGATCAGAGACCATATGTCAACGTTTTGATTAGCTGCGCCATGTTTGGGATACGCTTCCGGATCATTAGCTGAATGACAACACAAGCAGTGGTCTGTTTTTTTCAGCTGCATTGGCTGCACTAGCTGCACTACCAGATAGCCAAACCTTCGCGAACAGATTTCGAACAGAGGTTGCTATCAACTTTTGATGGCAAATAGATAACAAATTTAATGCAGGATCTGTTATATCAAATCTTGCTGCCAAATTGCCGCCAGATATGCGGCAGAGCTTGTTGTCGGATAATTGCTACAGATTTGCGGGAGCGGTGCACTTGGACATGGTGCATTTGGACACAGCCAATCACAGCACCGTGTCATTAGAGACATTTGTAGGGTCCCTTGGAACAGTGACTTGTGATTGGACTGTGTCCAATTGCTTCGTGTCCAACTGATATATACCCCAGATTTGCAGCAAAAACCGCGCAGAGCTTGTAGCGATTTGACGGCAGATTGGCGGTAGAAACCGCGCAGACCTTGCTGCGCTGCAAGCTTTGCGCAGTTTTTGCTGCAAAGGACCCCGCACAAACCTTATGGAAAATGGGTCCCGGTGGATTTGGCTGAAACTTTGGAAATTTGTAGTTTACGTGATTTTGATGAAAAGTTCTCATTGGCTGCATTCAGTAGAGTCAACAGTTGAGTCATCTGTTTCCGATTGGATCGAACTCCGTTATGAATTTTCTACTGGATTCGTTTGTGATATCGCTACTAGTAAAGATGGCTACTTCTAATGTATTACTTTAAAATAAAA